TTTCACTTATTTTTGAGGCTAGAGCCCTGTATTGGGTTCTACCCTCATTGAGGGTAGAACATGTTCATGGACCTTCTATTCTGGTTATTTTTCCTTTCACAATCCACCACCGATCAGACCTGGATATGGCACAATAGCAAAACTTAGATCTGAACTGTACTTTGAAGATCACTTAGAATTGTCAGTGTAGCTTCTGTTTTTGGCAAGAATGTATATCAATTTAGCACCTCCTCTTCAGTACACCTGGGGACTGCAATTGACATGGATGACTTGTCTCATATTCAACCTGGATTGATCCCTTGACTTGAATATAGTGGTGGAATGGAGGATATGCTAGGCCGTAAAATTTACAGTTTGTTGTTGCTCTAGATTATGTGTTAAGTAATGCAAGTAGTATCCCTCTGTACCACTAGTGACAACTGTTTCAACTGTGAAGGTCCGGAGACCGGATGTCGGTTGGAATAGGATATGTGTGTGTTTGTGTGTGTGTGCGCGCGCGCGCGTTGTGTCCCTGTATCAAGCTTGTTTTGTACCTAATACCTGTGTATATAAAGTGCTTTTAAAATTTTCTTTACACTGTGACCATACTTTGAGCTTAAAAATTGTTGTGACCCCTCAATGAGATTTGAGTGGGATATGGAGGGCCTTTGTAAGTGGGGCCTGTCTGTCAGAATGGGATGGCAGCTGTTATAACTCAGTCAGTCAGAACTCCAGGGTGATCATTGCTGCATTGGAACTTACCACCCCAGATTTCGGCTCACTTTTTGGGAAGCCCTAGTATAGAGCCTATATCTTTCAAGGAATGGAGACCCACTTAGGTGGATAACTTTCACTGAAGTATCTTCACTCTTCCTACTACAGATCTGGCATGCTCCTTCATGTAGGAGGCCCTGCAAAGGAGTCAGAAAATCCAGCTGTATTTCATCGGCATGAAGACCAGTAAACCTTTTCACTTAATGCAAAAAACATGTTTAGTTTTATTTTATTCATTGTGTCTTTGCTCTCTTTTTGTATATAGAAACAGTATTCGTTGTCTACTGTTATCCCTCTGGCACAATCCCTTCAATGGAACATATTTAAACTAGTGCCTCTGCTACTTACTACCTCGTTTCCTGAGGTACATGTCATCGAGACCTTTAGTTTTACTGGTTTGTCGACTATTGTCTCTCATTCAGTCTCAAGTGTATTAATTTTTTAAGTTTATCTTCCTCTATTTTTACATTGAGTCTTTTTAGATTCAGTTTTGTTTTAGTTCTTCATTTAGTACAGTTAACTTGCTTGGTTTTGTCTTTTTAGTGAACTTATTCCCCCTAAGCTGTATTGATTATCCTTTTAACAATTTTCAACTTTCTTTTTAATGCTTTTAAGTTCTCCCTCAACCCCCCAGCCCCAAAAATGTTTTTTTGTTCAATTTTATCCCCATTTCCTTATCATTTGTTAATTTTCAATCTATTAGTTTAGTCTTTGACCCACTTGCATCCTTCTCAAACCTAATATTAAATCTTATGATGTAATTGCTACTACTGTCCTATTCTTTCTTCTGCAGTTCATTATTGGCACTTCTTTTGGTGGGTTAATTATGTACTGAGTGAGAAGAGAGTCTAAACCTTAAATCTATGCCTGAGTCATTGTAATGTAGGTAATTAGAAGTGTTTTAGATAAGGTAGGCCAGGAAAGAAACAATAATAACTACTTTCAAGACTTGTCTCTGCCTCCAAAAATTAAATTTGATTGTTCCTGCATGATCTGTCCTTTACAATTGTGTTGGATATCCTTGACTAACTCAAACATATCCAAGAGTTTATTTATTTTTTCCCCTGATTACTTCTACAACTTTACTCATGACTGTTAAACTAACTGCCTACAGTTGTGAGAATTGTCCTTGCATATTTCTTGGATCATAGTGTCACAGTTTCCACAGGTCAATCTTCTGGCAACTGCCTTTTTATCTAGGAGAGATTGGGAGATTATGGCAAGCATTTCTGCTATCTCAATTTCCACTTCCTCTAGCATCCTGGGATGCATGCTATCCAAACCAGGGGCTTATCCATTCTAAGCATTACCACCCTTTTCAATAGATCTTGCTTCTCAGTTTTACCTTATCCGTTATCTCTACCATTTTGGGTCCTTCTGATATTTAGTCAGTTTTCTCTTTTTTGGTCAACACTGAAGCAAAGTACTTAAGTATTCTCACTCTGGTCCTCTAGGTAGATATAGGTGTCTCAGGTCCCACTCCACCTCTTGTTACCTGTTTGGTATTTACATGTTGGTGTAAGATCTTTTACATGATTCACTTACTGTTGCAATTTCCAACAGTCTCCTTCCTCATTTATTTAAACTCTTGGTTTTGGCCTTAGATTTCCTTTCTGTCGGGCCCAAAACGGTTTAGGTACAGTCTGTCTGAAGAAGACGATTCTTCCTTTCCCAGTAGTGGTGGCTGCTCTTTACGAAATGAAAGCCCTCTTCCTCGTGTTTAGCTATATGTTGATTTGTTTTTTTTTCTGAACTGTGTCTGCACAGCAATTTGCTGTGGTGCGAGTAGTAATTGTGATGATCCACAAGCCGCTGCTTTTTGGTTTAACTCCCAACTTTTCTGTTAGCAGGGTCTCTTCCTTAATTTTTCCTATGTCAACTGTTCTGACAGAGCATAACCGAATCCTTCCCTTTCTGTTCAAACTTCTTTACCAACTGTTGAGTATCTTGCTATCTTTTCCAGCACCCAGTAGGAAACATGCCCTTTTGTAGTGTTGTTCCTGATTTGTAAGTACTCAACATATTCTTCTCTCTCCTCCCCTAGTGTGCACCCCACCCCCCCCAACCTTAATCTCTCCTCTAGAGCGAATTGTATAATAATTCCTCCTCCATTGTTTCAATCTAGGGATTCAGCGTAACATCTCTGAACAGCAGTACCTCAAGACAGACCTTTTCTGGCAGATGTGAAAATTCAGACAGTCTTTTTATCCACCAAATGCAGTCCTTGTACGTTTCTTCATGTCTTTATGAATTAATAGATCTATTTTATGGATTAATTGATATATTTGGCTATCTTGAATAAGTAGACTTCCAATAAATATGTGGATTGATCTTGTTAAATTTACAATTAGTTACTGAACAGTCATTAGCATCCTTACGTACTCTTAGAATACAATCACTTGCCTTGGTTATCTTTGATTTGCATTTTCTTGCTGTATTTTATATTAATAAGCTTATCAAAGCAAGATATTAAACATGCAATAATATCTTGATATTTACCTAATATATTTACATCAATTACCTTGGATTTTTTTTACTCCTCTCTTGATATGTTGTCACTTCTTATTTTTCTCCAGTAAAGTTATTTATTTACATCTTGGTTAGAATTACTTCCGAACCCTCCTCTCTTCCCTCAGCCTGTACACTGAATTTCTGATCACACCACATTCTAGTTGTCATTCTGGTCACCAGCTACTCTGATTTCTGTGTTTGCAGGTATTCTTCCAATTTATTGTTATTGGCAGCATGCTAGTTACAACTCATCAGTCAACAAGCACAACAGCTTGTTAGGTACCAGTTTAGTAGTTAGTTAACTGTTAATTACTTGTGTCTTTAGATCAATTCATTTGAATGGTGTGATATCATCAGTCATACTGACATTTACCACCAAAAAAAATTTTTTCATAGGTACACATACAATAGCTCCAAATTATTTGTGGAACTGAATCAAAATGTCATTTTGTGTATCCATGATATACTTCAGTCTGCTCCCTCTAGTGTCAGTTGCAAATAAGTAGCTGATTTGTTATTAATTGTTGTGGTTGGTCATTGAAAACAACTTTTAAATTGCAAACTCAAAATTTTAAGGAGAAGTTGACAGTTCCTATCTGAGAATTTCTATTAATACTGTATACTAGACAATACATTGCTCACAAGCCTAATGCTGCAGACAAAATAAAGAAGCTTGTGTTGCTTGCTAGATTCATAGCTGAGTTTTTCTAGTAGTTTGGTTGTACAGTTTGGGAGGAGGAGGAAGTGGGGTGCATCAAGGGGGAGTTGAATTTATAAATTTTGGGTACAACTATTAGATATAGCTGAAGTAATACAACAATTGATTCTCAATGAAACTCTGGCAGCAAAGTGGAGAGACAGAGTACTTTTTGATTATACGTAGCACTATGTATGTTTCTGCCCTTGGCTGTTTTATTTGATAACTTTCTAGGAGTTTTTGTACTGCTACACGTTTTCTTCAATAATTGTAGTCTGCACCTGCAAATACTAACTCGATCATTTGAATTTGATACAGTGCAAAAATTATTCATAGTTCTCGAAGATGGTATATTTTAGTTACGACTGAACATAGATTCTACGTTTTTTTGTTTCAGCTCATGTCTTTGTAAATCCAGACTATATATTTTCACTAAAGGTATGGTTGCAATTCCTATGAGCTGAGGTAAAATTCAGTTTTGAAGAACTGGCATTGATTGAAGTTGCAAGTTCTGCTGGAAATTCTTGCCAGAAACACCTTAGCAGGCTTCTGCAAAATGATGTAGCATGTTCTTTTTTTTAATACTCCTAGCCTTAAAAAGGATAGCAACAGAGGACTGATGTGCGGTGAAATGTAAACAGATTAGGAAAGACAGAGTTAGAAACATTGTTAACTTTGTACTTAATGTTACACTGGATCCGCCGCTTATTTAAGGAATGAATGCTGAATCTTGATTTGCAATTTTCAAGAAAGGGTTTATCTGGTGATTTAATCAAAAGGAAACGTGAAGAATTTTTAAAGTCGCTTTATTGGTCAGTAGCATTGAAATTATTTAGAAATTGACAACTATCTATGATGATTCAGAGTTTACTATCAAAAGTCTTTAACTCAGAAGCTGTCAGTTTTTAAAACTGGGATATTTCATACACTGCTAATACCATCCTGCTACACTGATATCCAAAGTCTGCCTCCCAGTCTCAGCCCATCTATTGGGAGGGGTGGGGGGGGAATGGAAAAACTTCATCCGTGCTTTTGTTACCTCCACATTTGACAATTCCATTGCTTGCCTCAGCAGTCTCCATCTTCCAACCTCTAAAATCGCTTGTAGGAGAAAATTACTGTAGATGTTGGAATCTGCACAGAAAACAAAAAAAAATGCCGGCGATCACAGTAGTCAGGCAGCATCCATGGAGAGAAAGCAAGATAATATTTCAAGGCTAGATGACTCCTCATCACAGCACTCTAAAATCACTTGGAGTACTTACACGGGGAGTGTGGGTGGGGGAGGTTGCTGACAGCAGAAAGATGACTGTATTAATTCGTTTTCATGCTTATAATTTGAGTTTTGTCTGAGGTGTGCATACTTCCTCCTAATCCTGCAATTCCTCTCTTTCTTTCTATTTAAGTTAGGATATAGATTTTTTTTTTAAAATCACTGACCGGTGGACATAAACAGGGATTCAGTGTAATTGAAGTGGGACAAACACAAACATTGCTTGCACCCAGCTGACTCATGAAATGAGGATAATGACTGAAGTTGTGAAGTGGGCTGAAGTTCTTCCTGTCCACTCATCCTGCTGCTGTATACTGAGTGTTGCTATTTACAGATGTACCAATAAAAACCACTGAACCATTCGAAAAATAAACCATTTTCCTGCTAGGATATGGCCAGTTTCTATCTGTTAGCTTGAGTTTAAAAAGAACAATGTGGACTGAGACACAGGAGAATGCAAACACTTGGGAGGCTAAGATTTTTCCAGATGATCAAGCACTACTGGCAAAAAAAACTGCAAATGCACAGGGGGGAAAAAAAAATCAACAAAATTATAAAACATCTCATAAGGTTTCTCCAGGACAAAACAAAGATCAGTTGAAACGGATTAAATCCAACTCCAAACAGAAATGCAACCGATTATAGGCCACTTATCTTGGAACTGGATTATGCTGCAGCACTAAGTGTAGATGAATTGGCAAAACAATTACTGGTTTAACTTGCCAGATATCTGAAGAGGCTATCTTATCTGACAATCATGTGATTGTACGAATCTGTTGTATCCACAATGATATGTCACTGAAACCAGGCAACAAAGATCACAGACAAGAAACTTGACTATTTTGATGTCATATTTCAAAACTTCAAATTTGGGTTTTTTGTTGTTACTGACAAGGCTGTCATTTTATTAACTGCCTACTTAATCTTCAGAAGATGGTAGAAGGCCTCCTTGAACCAGTGTGGTCACATGGTTGTCTTACAAGCTATTAAAAATAGTGTTTCAAGATATTGGCTCAGTGGCAATTAAAGAACAACAATATGGCTAAGTTAGGATGATAGGGAACTTGGAGTTAGAGTTCCCATGGGAAATGGAGGTTGAAAGTTTGTAGGACTCTGGAAGAACTTAAGTTTTTTTTCCAGTAAACCCAAGTAAATGCATAATAGGGGAAAGAGGGAACAGGTACACTGAGACAGCTGAAGAAGCTACTTCTGTTAGCTAGGCTGTGTGTTCAGAATGCCAGATTTCAGAACAGAATACTGAGTACTGAGATGGCAGCCAAATGAAAGAATGAAAGGCCAAGAATAACCTGGCAGTGGAGAACCTGTCAGATATTGAGATTACCTGGGGAAAAACATATATCTTGCCAAAATTGAGTGTGAAAGACTGCTGCTAGCTGTTTGGCCCTGTGTGCAAATTGTACAGCACGATCCTCAGATTCAGAATTTTTCAAAATTAAAATTAATTTTAACGAATTTTTTAATGGCATTCCCTTGATGTCTGTTTGCAGAAGGTGTTACAAATGCTAGCATCGTACTGTTGAAGATGGAGAGCAGATTCTTATTTTAAAGTTTAGGCAAAATTGTATTTCTAATTTCCTGACTGAAATGAATTGCTTTAGGAAAATTGTTTTGTGGAGCCCATCCTGCATACATACAACAAAATATCTGTGCAATGTTTCAGTTTATCCTGCAGAGAGATGAAACTTGAGGGATCATCCTACCAATAATTTTTTTCTTTCTTTTTTTTTGCATTGGTGAGAAGTAAATGCAAATAATATCTCTAAAGCTTTTATAAATTTTGGATAATAGACTGCCCCTTTCTCTCCATCCCCCAGAAAGAGATTTTCCTACGCAAGAATTTCATGATACTTTTGTTTATCAACTTCAGTACTGATTTAATTTTTGAAGCATATTGACCTGGGTCAGTAAAACAACAACCAGGATTTAAAAAGAGAGCCTGCATTGAGGTACAGAAATTTTGTCAATAATGCTGTCTATAGTGAATCATGTACCAGAAGTACAAGTTTGATTTTTGCTTATTTTTGAATCTAGATTTTTTTGAAAGGCTATTTTAAATTAATGCTTTGTTAATAGAGCTGTACATGAACTTGCTGGTCTTGTACACATGTTGCAACTTCCCTGTGCCCTCTTTCCTGTGAATTAATAAATGTGTATGAAGGAGAGGCAATGTTTTGTTGAATGCTGAGTTGTACATGATTTTTGCTTGAATAACTCGGAACAGGCGGTATGATTGACAGTTAGGCCTGAGGTCTGGGTGGTTTGGAAAAGACGTAGATGAATAATTAAGTGTCGATTTGAGCTTGTTAAAAGCTTAATTCATCCCATTTTATGCTACCCATGCCATCACATGATGGGAGTGAGAACCGTAAATGTTTTTTTAACGTGCTTAAAATGACAAAGGAATAGGGAGATACTTTTGTCAGGAGCGTTCCCTATCTCTTTTTTTCCCCCCTCTCCCTCTGTCTTCCCCCACCCACCCACAATAAATCACCTTCACAAATTGCCAAAAAAAGCCCCACTGAAAGCCTCTGGACTTGTCTGGATCTGGGATTCATGAGGCCTCCTGCATGGACCTCTCTGCAATCTCAGCGTTGCAAACACTGTTGAAGCTGTCAGCCAAATGCCTGGAAGCTTCAGAAGGTAAGACTTCCTCCAAGTGAGGGATGGGGGAGCTTCCAGAACTTTGTTTAGTCCAGTAGGAGTGCTTTATGGCTGTGGGAAGGCTTCTAACTGGCCACCAACACTTCTGCCCCCACACCCTCTGTAGTTTTTCATTCCATGTTTCATTCTCCTCACATTTTCAGCATTTTGTGTTTTTGTTTCAGATTTCCAGCATCTGCAGTATTTTGCTTTTGCAGTACTTATTGCCCTTATGCGGTATCTATCTCTTTGTTTTGCCTCTCATTCATGTGGCTTTGATGTATCTCCATTAAATGTCTAAACCTTTCTTCACCACCACCCCCCATTCCCTGGCTGTAATTGATGGATATCTAATGTTGCAAAAATATCTTTTTGGTATTTAGCACCATTTGCCATTTAGTTAAAATGGCCTTTATATCCTTTAGCTCCATGTTTTTGCCTCAAAGTATTTTGATATTTTCTATACTCTGTTCAGAGACGTTATTACACACCTTGGGTGTAGGTGGTATTTAAACCTGGGCTGCCTCGTTCAGAGGTGGGGACAGTACACTAGCACCACAAGAGCCCTTTTTAATCATAAGCTGATGATTGCAGCAAGAGAAACAAGTCACTTGGGATGTGACTGAATAGGGCAAGCAACATATCTCCTTGAACCAATAAGACTTGAAGATTGAGAAAGGAAAACAAACTTAATGTAATATAATGCAACACAGGAACAGGACCTTTTGGCTTACCAAGCCTGCACCAATTCCCAATCCTCAATTAGACCTGCTACTTGTTGCCCATATGCGGTATCTATTCCTCTGTTTGCCTCCCCTTCATGTGTCTAATATGCCTACTTCCACCACCTCCACTGGCAGTACGTTCCAGGCACCCATCATCCTGCAATTCCCCTCTCGCACTGAACCTGTGCTCTCTTGTAGTTGACTTTTCCATCCTGGGGAAGAAAGCTTCTGACTATCCACCTGACCTATGCCTCTTATAATTTTGTAGACTTCTATCAGGTCGCCCCTCCGCCTCCATCTTTTCAGTGAAAACAGTTCAAGTCTATCCAACTTCTCATAACTGAAACCCTCCAGACCAGGCAACATCCTGTTGAACCTTCTCTGCACCCTCTCCAAAGCATCCATGCCCTTCTGGCAGTGTGGTGACCAGAACTGCAAGTAATATTCCAAATCTGGCCTAACTAAAATTTTGTACAGACATATAACTTGCCAACTTTTGGATGCCCTGGCCAATGAAGGCAAGCATGCTCGCTGTCTTCTTGACTACCATTATCCACCTACGTTGCCACTTTCAGGATTCTGAGGACCTGTACACCCAAATCCCTCTGCATGTCAAAGCCCCTAAGGGTTCTGCCATTCATTGTATAATTTGCACTCTCATTTGATCTTCGGAAATGCATCACCTTGCATTTGTCTGGATTCAACTCGATCTGCCAATTTTCTGCCCAAATCTGCAATCTACATCCCACTGTATCCTTTGACAATCCTCCTCACTATCTGCAACTCTGCACATTTTGGTTGAGCACTTTCTTGACTTACTGTCAGGCTAATGGCTCTTGGTTTCAGAGCTTTCAGATTGCAGCACAGAGGATTTTGGGACTCCTTGTGCAGAAATCTCAAAGGTAGTTTTAAGGATCGGATAACAGAGAAGGCAAATGGAATGGTGGCATTTATTTCAAAGAGAATGGAGCCCATCAAGATTTCCCTATTATTAAAACTTTACAAGGAGCTGAATTCAATATTACAACGGGTAGAGGAAAAACAGGAGGGGAAAAAAAAATGGGAGTAAGATAAACAAGTAGCTCTGACTGAAATGAGGGACTTGTGTAATATCTGTGCCAGATAGGCTGTTTTAGCAGTGATTTACAAATATCAATTAAAGGGATACTTGCATGTCCAAATACCAGTCCTAAGGTTTAGATCCTATCCACCCTATGTAAACACAATTTTATTTGATTTTTGGACAAAAAATATCTTCAAGAGAATGGCATTTTAATAATTGTGGAGTGGTGCATCTTGGGCAACTACATTCGGATATTCCCATTTCACTACCCCCTGTTCCAATTACTGTGCCATTTCTGGATAACTTATGGGGAAAGCCATTGTCCCCTCTTTGATAGCACAACCTTAATAATGTATTTCCTATTAGCATAGCAGATAGGTATAAGGGGTGCCTGTTTATCCTGGCATCAAGA